GGTTCTGGAAAGAAATCTGATAGACATATAGACATGTTGATCGGTGGACAAACAGCTTTTGCATGAGATTGTGTCTGCTACTGGGTGTTTGTGGTTAGTGTGTGTTTGTGTGTGCATGTCTTGAGGTGTGAAGAGTCTGAGTGTGTCTGCATTTTAGTGTGAATAGCGTGTTTGGAAAGGACTTCCACAATTTTACTTCCTCTCTATGCAAAGCAGTTTTTTTAAGATTCTCTCGAATATACAATTATTACATAATTTGTCTGTGAAAAATTGAAGTACAGAAGCATGTGCACCTTTCTGTATATTAATGACCTTAGATAAGCTTAGCTAGTTTATTTTCAACTCTTGCTTAATTTAAAAAATTTTTTTTTTACAATTTTAAAGAAGCTTCAAATAATACTTGATATCACACTGACAAATACATAATGATACATTTTAAGAATAAATGTATGACTTACTGTGAGTTGTAACATTTATTATGGCATCATGCAGAAGTTCATTGGTTGTTAACTGTATATAAACATTGTTTCATTAGGATAATATTGTTTTTGAAACAGTGAAGTTTTTCCAGAAACATTTTTTTTTACAACCACTAGCAATGTAGCATGATAAACGCCACACACCTGAATCATAATGCGGTGACTTTCACTCTATATTAAAAATAAAATACACTCAAAGGAAACACCCTCATCAAAGAAACAAGACATCATTTGACCACTAGAGGGATGAGTCATAATTCCACAGGATAAATGTGGTATTTGCTTTGTCAAACATTTACTATTGCTTATTATTCCTTATATTTTGGTCATTAATAATGTTCACCACTTGAAAAAGAAATAAAAACAGATGCATTGCTAAACTGCATTGGCCATGATACTCATATTTCTCCACAAAATGTGTACTGTAGTTATTGTTCCTACTATAAAAACATAACTTGAGATCTACTTCAGAGTGTAAGATAATATTTGTCGTTTCTTTTTTTAAAGAGAGTTGTGTCAGATACCACATTTCCATTTTACTGTAACAATCACTAAAATAACTGTTATTACTTGCTGTTTGTTTCCCTATTTATTATTTTTAACTTTTTGCAAGAACAGCATCCCACACGGTGTGCCCTATATTCCATTAATATCTAAAGTGTGCACACTACAAACAGTATGCATACTGTATTAGAGCGTCATCTAGTGCCATAACTAGGAATTCATTATTCAAAGAATGCAGTTATAATTGAATCAGATGTTTTTAATGCCATTTCTCACATGAACTAGGGGTGGAACGGTACATGTTCCATACGGAACCGTTTGCCACTGAAACTGCTTAACGCACCAGTGGGGCTCGACAGCCTTATAGACAAACGGGTCGGTCCGTATGGTTGCGGTTGGGTTGCGGAGAGTTTGGGTTGCGGAGAGTTGTGAGATTATGGTTTTCTAACACCTACTCCCGTGTAATGGAAATCATTATGAACATCAGCTATGCTAATTATTTCCCATCTGCCTTTCTGCTGTTATCTCGGGACGCTTGTCCCGAGAAAAATGGCGTTCGTAGGCTCCAGTTTGGTATCCTGCCTCTCACGGGGATTTCGGATGCCTCAACGCCTGTGATGAGAAGACCAACGCCTGTGAAGAGACGACTCAACGCCTGCGAAGAGACGACTCAACGCCGGCGATATGTTATCCCCTAAATATTACATGATTAACTAAATGTATTTTTTCCAGGTACTCTCTGATATGCACTTACTGTAAAGCTTCTTTAAAACCCTATGATTGTTAGCCAGAGGAGAACTGGCCCCTGACTAGCCTGGGTTCTCCCAAGGTTTTTTTCTCCATCCAATCTGATGGAGTTTTGGTTCCTTGCCACTGTCGCCTTGCTTTTGGCTTGCTTAGTTGGGGATATTTAATATTCAACAATATTATTGAACTGTGTTGTACTAATTTCATGTTATCACTGTGAAGCTGCTTTGATGCAATCTGTATTGTGAAAAGCGCTATATAAATAAATGTGACTTGACTTGACTTGACATGTATTCGTATTGAACCGAAACGGTACGGGCGTCACGGTTCGGTGCACGAATTTACACGGAGAATACACGGTATAAAAATAAATAAAACTCGCGTGCAAATTAATTAATGTAATGCGGAACTACTGTTAGATACGCGGGTTCTTTAGGGACACATAATCTGTACCATCGGCTTAGCTCTGAACGCGCGTTCACTTCAAACGTTGGCTTTAAGGCCAATTTATACTTCTGCGTCGGGTGCGCGCAGTAGGTACGGCGTAGCATACGCACAGACGCGTACCATACGCCGTACCCTTCGCCGTAACCTGACGCACACCTCCTCAAAAATGTAACTACACGTCGCGACGACGCGGACCGCAAGATCTGTGATTGGTAGGCTTGGTAGCATCGCGTTTCCTCCTATGCATTTCCGGCGTGTTCTTCTGCACCGCCCGTCATTTTAAATTCTAAGTACAGCGAAACTGTTAAAAAAACTAAAAATTTACCTTTTCCACCTCGATAAGCTCCAACTCCAACATGATCTGCTCTCTTTCAGTCGCCATTGCTTGTAGTAACCTAAACTCAAAACAGCCGCGAGGAATCTTCTTCTTCTTGCCGCGAGGAATCTAAACACAGTGGAACATTAAAACCCTCCGCCGCCAACTAGCGTTTCGGCGCTGTACTGCAGAGCAATGCAGACCTAAACGCAGAAGTATAAATGCTCATGACGGCGTCGCCTACGTGCGTAGCGTACGCCGTACACTACTGCGTACACTCGACGCAGAAGTATAAATTGGCCTTTATACGCGCGTCCTATTCGCTTTGGACTAGCGTCGAACTAGACGCAAATTTGACGCTCTATTCGCGTTTGGTGTGACCGTGACCGCATAATGAACAGGCAGCGATGTCAAGATTGCAATGCTGGAGTGTGTGTGTGAGAGAGAGAGAGAGAGAGAGAGAGAGAGAGAGAGAGAGAGAGAGAGAGAGAGAGAGAGAGAGAGAGGGGCGCGCGGGCGCGATCGAACTGTGTGTGTGTGTGTGTGTGTGTGTGTGAGAGAGAGAGAGAGAGAGAGAGAGAGAGAGAGAGAGAGAGAGAGAGAGAGAGAGAGAGAGAGAGAGAGAGAGAGAGAGAGAGAGAGAGAGGCGCGCGATCGAACAGTGGAAACATAAAAAACATACTCCGTCATTTTGTTCATACAGATCATTAAACCTGCAAAGTGTTTACTTATATTTGTGACACTCGCAATAAAACACAACATGCTTTTGTCACACTGTAAACTCTTGTCAAACTGTAACCTACAACTGTCCGCCCAACCAAAATCACACACGCACACACACACACACACACACTGTTTTAAAAGCAAAACATATTTATCCAACTCCATTTCAAAACAGTCTGTGTGTTCCATCTTTTGGACATTCGTCATATTGCATTGGTTTCCATTTCTTGTCCTCGGAGCACTAATCTTACACATTCTACATTGATTAAAAAAAGAATATCAAATGTGTTTTTAATGGTAGTATTATTTTATACAGAAATCAATTATTTATAATTCAGAAGAGAATAATGTTACATTGTCAATTAATAATGTTAATTAAAATTAAGGAAAAACAAATATTTTGATCTGAGATATAGCAAAATAATTTTAAATTAATTCAGGTACAATTACCAAACATATCGCAAGGTCTTTTTATTAATTTAATTAATAAACTAATTATATAAAACTATTGTCAATGCACTACAAATAAACTGGTTCTATGCCTTTATTAAAAAAACTTATTTAAAAAATACAATGCCTTCTGCATTTTTGTTTTGCTTTTCCCTCCATTGTACCGAAATCGTACCGAACCGTGATGTCTGAACCGAGGTATGAACCGAACCGTGACTTCGGTGTACCGTTCCACCCCTAACATGAACATAATAAAAATACATGTCTAATATTCCTCTCATGGAAAGGCACATGATTTATTCACAAAATAAAACCTCTTTATGTTGACATATAATTTACAATATTTGAAAAGCTTATTAAAAACACTGCTATCATTTATGAAACAATCATTCATCTCTATCCAGCACTTATTGATTTATAACATGACACGATCCATTTTATTTTGTTAATTTGGCAAATAACAGCATTTTAACTCTGGCATGACAAAACATTATGACAAAAATAGACAAAATCATATACAAATCCTATTGATGATATTAACATATCTACAATGAGTACCAAACAAAAGACAAACCATAAAAAGGAATAAGGGAAAAATTGTTCTAACACTGTTGACCAAAAAAAATGCAAGAAAAAAAAAAACACATATTGATTATTAGATTATAAATAAAGAAAACACTGTTAATTGCATAGCACAAAACATGCTTCATAATCAGAACTGAGATAAAACACCTGTAATGAATGTTCCTCGCATGAAACGCAGGACTCTGGCAGTAAAATCATCTAATCAGCACCTCATAAAATATCACAAATGAACAATTTCAGTCGAGACATTAATATAAAAGAGTCGCTTCAGTGCCTGAGTGTTGTTTGATTGACAGCTGCCTTCAAATGTTCACTATCGTATTTGTCTAAAGTGCTCATGTCTTACAGTACGATCTGTGTGTGCAGTCAAACACAATTCTTGGTCACAATGGCCGCCCGTCTCTGTGAGGTTTTCTTGTAAACACAGTCAGTTTTTAGAGGATGTAAACAGACGGGACAAAATAACTGATGTCAAACAGGTTATCATTAATAGGTCTCATATTGCAAATGACAAGAAACAGATAATGTATGGATCCCTGTAACAGCTTAAAAAAACTCTGCATACTGAAAAACACCAAGCACTTGCTGATCTATTGCTGGTAAATGTTGCTTTTTTTTGGTGCTAATTTTATTGTTGATCTGTCTTTTTAGAAGCAAATGTTAACATAACTGAAAATATGTTTAAAAAAATAACATAACATAATAAAAAAAACCCGAAAACATAAAAAAAAAACTTAATTGACACTTTCAATTTGATCCTATTCTCTCAGTTTTTTTCCCTCACTGTCCCTTTAAATACAATTTTCAAAACAATAAGTAATGTTATGTCGGTGTTTCAGTGTTGGTACTTCCCATTAACAGCAGTCTTCGATTCGAAGATACATTCTGATTGATGCATGACTATATTACACTTCTCCTCTGAAAGAAAACAGATTCACAGAAGGGAAAGAAATTAACAGGATTGATGATTCAGTTACACAAACACAACAAAAATACTATAAGATTGGAATTGTGTTTTCAATGAATTTAATGTGGTTTTCTTTTCTTAAATATTCGACAATGTCCTAAATGTAGGATGTTCTGCACTGTCTTCTTCTGTACTGCATTAAAACAACAGTAATGTTTCAATGCCATAGTGTGTGATGCTCTGCAATTAAAATAATAAACAATAATAATTCACACGCACACAGACTTACTTTCTTGCAAACGTAAATCACATAAGCAGCTGCAGTCACAAACAGCAGAACACCAACACTTATTCCCGCTATAGACGCTGGAGACAGAACCAAACCTGGAATGATAAAGAGAGACAGTCATATCAATTTTACTGATATGGTTGACTAATAATTACACCTTTCTGTTTTGAGTTTAGTTTTATGATATTGATTCAACTGATAAATGCCCCCCATTTGGTGGGGGTTTTAAAGGGACTGCAGTTACAGTAAAACAGCATCCGCACTTTCAGCTAAACACGAAACATCAATGTTCACAGGAAAAGTGATTTTATGTAGCCTGGGAAAACCCAGACAACTTCCGGCAAATTTAGATTTGCTCTGAAAGTTAGTCTGGCAAAGAGCTCATTCAAACCCATTTCCAATCCGTCGAAATCGCGGCACCAATCAGAAACGTTGGGGGCGGGCTTTACACGATGACGACAGCGCTGGGATTTTGAAGCAGATTTTGTAGCCTACATTACAAAGATGGATGCCGCCATCGAACATCACTCGTTCGAATCAGCTATCGCGTCTGTTTTAAGCGATTTGAACGTTTCCTTTTTGATAAAAACTGAGCAAAGAACAACACTCTGAGATGTTTCTCCGCTGCTCTGCATACGTCATCTCCTTCATCGCTCTGATTGGTTTTAGGTCTATCCGCGACGCCCGTTGGTGACGCCCCTCTGGAAATGATTTGTCTATGACCCTTTGCCAGACCATAACTCAGTTACCACTGAGAATGGTCTGGTTTTAACCAGGCTAGATTTTATGCATTGTGCAGATAAATACAACATTATTCAAAATGTTAAACAAAATAACAAAAAAACTTTAGGCACTGTATTTAAAATGCATTGAATTACTAAGGTTTTATACTTACCAGTGACAGTCACACTGAAGCTCTTGATTCTCCTAACACTGAAGCTGTTGTTGTTGCTGATGATCTGTAGTGTATATTCTCCAGAGTCTGTGGTTCTGGTGTGTGTGATGGTCAGAGATCCAGTCTGATGATCCAGCTTCAGTCTGTCTCTGAATCTCTCTTTACACTGATCATCTGTACAGATCTTACTCTGATCTCCAGTGATTTCAGTGATTAGAATGTCATTAAAACACCACATCATCACATCATTAGATTTTATTTCTACGGCAGGATCTAAAGTGACAGATTCCCCCTCCTTCGGTGACATGGCTTTTAATTCATTCATCTCGGCAGCAATTTCTAAAAAAAAACAACAACAAAAAACAGCTGGGTTAGTATCTTTATGCCGAGAAAACAAATCTACACAATATGAAAGAACTGTGAATATCAAAGGCCACGTTCACACCGCAAGTCCTAATGCTCAATTCTGATTTTTTGCTCGGATCCGATTTTTTGATTGGCTGTTCACATTACCTTTTAAAATGTGACCTATATCTGATTGCAGTGTGAACTGTTTGAGGTTTCAAACTAACCGGCATGCGCAAAAGAACAATAGCAATGACATCAGACGCAGCACGCGGTTGCACTAAAGTTCGGGAGGTTATGGAGGAAGTAAGCATATTCGCATTTATTTCATAATGTTTGTGTAATGGAAACTTTTGCGGGTTTATGGTTGCAAATTCACTACAGAGATCTGTGTGGATGCGTAGACGAAGCCAGGAGTGGTGGGAATATGACCTGAATAGTTGTGACAAATGTCGACGTAAATGTCGACCCACATAATTGTGACAAATGTCGACGTAGATTGACGTAAAAGTCGCATCAAATCCGCCTTGATTGTTCACACTGCAGCCGCATTGAAAAAAATCAGATCTGGGTCTGATTCAGGACCACATATGTATGTGGTCTAAATCTGATTTGAAAAAATCAGATCTGGGCTAGATTTGAGTGTTCACACTACCTCTGAAGAAGTCTGACCTGGTCACTTGACCCCAAAAAAATCAGATTTGGGCCACTTTTGCCTGCAGTGTGAACGGGGCCAAAGTGATTACAAACTGAAGAGATACGATCACTTTATGATGGACAGCGATCATTTAGGCTTTTTATTCACATAAACATTGATGAACGCACAAATGCATATAAAACAATGGTAAATGGAATCTCAAACATGCTGTCTTGATTTTTTTTTTTAAGTTAAATGAGTTTATATAGAAAAGAACCACCGCTCATCCGTCAAAGCAAGTCTTGTAGAGAGGTGCTGCTACATTAAATCATAGTGGAAAATATTGTAATACAGCAGCCGCACACTCAAAACACTGTGCAAGATCAATTTATTGCAAGTGTAACCGCTCCACCCGGGCCCCACTCGACCCTCGAACCCAGGTCTCCGGCATGAGAGTCAGGCGCTCTAACAAGGAGGCTAAAGACTGCAGCCTCTAGCATCTGTCGCTAGAGCGCCTATTGAGATTAGAGGAGTGAGGTTTACTCGCACAGCGACTACTAGCTGGCCTCCGTTACACAAGCTTTCGGTCAAAGTTAAATGAGTTTAGAAAGACATTAACAGATTATAACCAGTGTTGGGGGTAATGCATTACAAGTAATGCGAGTTATGTAATTAGATTACTTTTTCAAGTAACTAGTAAAGTAACTTTCAAATAAGTAATGCAAGTTACTTTGTTTCGCCATTTATTGACTGACAGCTCTCCTGTCCACATGTTGTTGAGAGAAATCAGCAGTAAGTGCAGAGACGTTCTGTGAGCTGTGTGCAAATATGATGCTTATTGTAGATCTACTGTAAACTCTAAGGCCGTGTTTACACCTGCTATTAAGATGTGTTTTGGTTGATCAGATCTCAATAGACTTTTTTTTGTCCACTTTCGACCCCTTCTGTCCTGATTTCTATGAGGGGAGGGTTTATGAGCAGGTAAATGTTATTTTTTCAGATCTTTTGATCTAATGGACTAAATAAGCTCTCGCAATTTACATATGAACACACCTGCAGTAACAAGGCCAGCCGAACGCTGTGAGTGTGTGTGAGAAATCAGGAATGAAGAGAGAACATTGTGCTTGGTACGCTTTTTCGTCTTCAGACAAAGTTTAAATCCCGTCTGGATAAGGCTCTTCCCATAATGTTACTGCATTAGGTCAGTATGTGGAGAGTAGACGGTCTTTTGTGGCTGGTTGAACACATTCGACCACATGAGCGTTTACACTACTAAAGCAATCCGGTCGTGCAATCCAGGACCACTTATGATCCGATCAACCGAAACGCTTCTTACAGTTGTAAACAGGGCCTAAATGTGATCAGGCATTTACTCATCTCACTTGCACAAAAACAGATTCAGTATTCCTCAAAATAAATAAAAACAATGCAATGCAAACTCAGAATATTATGCAAACCTGAAATAATAATAAAATTATTATAAAAAAATCTCACTTTATTAACTAATTTCTATTTATTAACTAATTTATTTGCTGCGGACCTTCGATGATCCAATTCAATTATAAGCAAAAATTACTTTGGATAAACATCACATTTGTGTTTCTTTTTCAATTTTTTTTTTTATTGCTGAAGTAAGTGTTGAACACCAATCTCCTGAAATCCATAATGGTAGCACATCTGAAAGTTTTTTTGAGCGTGAATTTACATTTCCTTAAGTTTGAGGCTTACTCGTTTAACTTTTGTTGGGAAAGGGTTTTTACAATATGCCAAAAATAGAAACAATCCCCGCCCAGCCCAGGTGAGGAAAAAGTAACACAATTAGTTTCTTTTTAGGCAGTAACTCAATATTGTACACTGATTATAACCAATGCTCATCTTTTGTATAATATAATTAATTCACAATTTGAATAATTTTGTTTCTTGTTTTTCATGCTGCTACACACTTTCCGTGTCTGTCACAAACACTCTGCAACGTTTCAGGAGTTAATCTGCTAAATTATTGCATCGTAACATTACTGCTATGATATGCACTATAACATGTTATTTAAATATATATATAACCTGTTTTTATTAAATGTTAAATGACTTACCATGAACAGCAACTTTGAAGATCTTTTCGCTGTTGGGGTTGATGGTCTGTAGTTTATATTCTCCAGTGTGTGTGTGTGTGATGTTCATGATGGTCAGAGATCCAGTCTGATGATCCAGCTTCAGTCTGTCTCTGAATCTCTCAGTGCCTTCATTACACTGAACATCTGTACAGATCTTACTCTGATCTCCATTGATTTGAGCGATGCGGGTGTCATTATAATACCATTTTGTTTTTCCTTGTTGGTCTGCTTTAACACCATTTTTCAGAGTGACTGAATCTCCCTCCATCACTGACACTGACACTGATACGTCACCTATCAACACCAGATGTACATGAAGAAGAAAAAACAGTCAAAACTTGTTCTACAGATCATGAAGCTCGTGGGTAGATAAATATGCAAGGATTCATAATGTAACATGCAAAAAAAACATAAGAGATGGATTTGGTCACTTTCAGGTCTCTGTTTTCTAATCATTAAACCAAGACACTAAATTAAAAAGATCCATATAAAATCAGTGATCATCCATATTATATATATTAAATTTCTTAAAGGAAAATGCACTGAATGACTTAATCATACTCACAAGTGACGGAAACACTGAAGCTCTTAATGCTGTCGCTGTCGCTGTTGCTGCTGCTGATGTGTAGTGTATATTCTCCAGAGTCTGTGTTTGTGGTGTGTGTGATGGTCAGAGATCCAGTCTGATGATCCAGCTTCAGTCTGTCTCTGAATCTCTCAGTGCCTTCATTACACTGAACATCTGTACAGATCTTACTCAGATCTCCAATGATTTGAGCGATGCGAATGTCATTAAAATACCATCTTATTCTGTATTGCTGGTTTGTTTCAACGCCAGTGTTTAGAGTGACTGAATCTCCCTCCAACACCGACACTGACACTACATCTGATCCAACACCGAAAACATCTGGAGAAGAATTGAACAAATCATTTTAAATAAAAATCAGGGATAGCGGGATAAAAATACGCAAGATGAAAGTGCTGTGTAAATAGAATAATACTATACTAATTAAAAATATTGCTATTGTTTTCAAATTTACAATTGGTCTGTCCAAGTATTGAATATATTATTGTCTTCAGTTTGGCATGCATTTTTTTAACCCGTTCATCTCAATAGTAAGGCCCATTTTAAGGATATTCTAAAATAGATTTAAACTTTTATTCAGACAGAGTTGAAATAATACACAAGTTAAGGCTGTGAAGTGTGTGCATAATGCAGGACTACTTGAAGCTACACAAAAAATATATTTACCATTTAAAACAAAATAATATGAACCTTTATATTTCTCTAATGTACCTTTTAAATATTACGAGTTTGGATTTTATGATTTAATGGCAACACCCCAAGAAATGGCCAATATGTCCAACGGAAACTAATATGGTTTATTATTAAGGCCTATTAAAGCTTTACTTTTTTACAACAATAACCAGGTGGTAGCCTATATGTAGCGGGAAGGGTGGTTGAGACGGGAAGTGTAGCTGGAATCGCCCTGCCCACTGGTACTAATTATTTGGGCCAGGTGTCACAAGTGATGCGTCCCTTTAAATGTGTCGTGCGACAAGGACAGAAGAACGTTAGTGCGGTGTGCATTGAAGAGTGAGTTTCGGAGTATCAGCTGTGCAAACGGGAGAACGTGAGTCTTGTTGGAAGGTTACGCCTGTCTGTCTTTAACCCTAAACTTATTCCCATTGAGAAGAGCCTAACAGTCTTTTGTTTGTAGCTCGGCCTGGCGTTTGTGCGTATGGTGACCAGTAAATGGTACACGCAGTTACGAGTCGACAGAAATTCTTGCTTGCCTAATCGCGAGTAGTGAGTTTGTTCCACATGTATTTGCAGCAATGTAAGTTTACTAACCCCCTTTTCTTGTTACATAACGTGTAGTGTTTGTAGCTCTGATTACTTTCTGTTTGATATTGCTTATTAATAGAAGCAACGCTGACGAGAGTGTGCACAGTTATTAGTCATCCACACCGTTAAAATATCAGTACGGTGCAGATAGCGCCAATTCATCTTGGCTGGTTTCGAAACGTAAGTCCGTTTAATTTTTTTCTGTCTTTTAATTTAATCTTTTCTTAACTTGTCACGATGCTACCAAACATTGCATCTTAAATCACTCATGCTTGTGATTACAGGAGAATTGCCTTTGTCTGTCCAACGAGCCACTGTTTTTCCTGGGTTTAATTATTTTTTGTTCTTTTTCATTTCTTTGAATGTATGTGCGTGCCTCGGAAATTTGTCCCATCGTGACGTGCGGATCTGGAACTGGGTGGGCATATGGTGGAGGCCTGCTACCAGTGATATCCAGCTAAATGTAAATGTTTTGTTTGTTTGTTTTGTTTGTTGTTTGGCAATAGTAATTTGTATCACCGTATTCGGCCTATGGGCATTGTGCAATCTATCCGGTGGGGACAGTGCTTGTTCACTAGTGTGAAGCGTCGTTTTAGTGTGTGTACTGCCTATTTAGTGTGAAGGGTCTCTTGCAGTGTTGAGGTGTGTGTATGTGAGAAGTATTTATTTATTCACTATAGCCTATGTATTATGATATTTTATGCATTGTAACTCATTTACTATGAGACTTTATCCACTGTTCCCTACGGAAAATATTTGCTTGCTCTGATTGCCAATGTATTGTCTAGGGTTTAATAAATTTACACATTTGAGTACATCAGTCCCACTTTGTGTTCCTTCATTGGACATAACCGGCCTAGATAGTTTAAAGGGGAGCGCTGGTTGGTTTTTCTAGCTTATATATCCAAATTGCACGCCAGAGAGCGCCCCCTGGTGGTCACATATATAAAGACAGTTTTAAGGAGGGGGACAAAACAGGAGAAAACAATGTGCTGCAGGGATGAAGTCAAACACCAGAAAACAATTCACCACTGGATTTTCCTATGGGTTTTTTTTAATGAGGGTAGCCTGTAAAATAAGGTCTGTGTAAACAGTTTACAACTGCACACCCAAACCCCCACTATTTTCCCATAGTTGATTTTCCCATCAACCAGTGGCGAACTGTTATCTTCCGGGTTCCGACATCATACACGCAGCATGTCATAAAAATAAATGTCTTACCAAGCAGGAAAATGCACAGTGTGGGGAAAATTCCGAACATTATTTTCTCCAGTTTCTCCAGAAAATAAATCAAGATTCTGTGAAATAATTAGATAAATTCCTAGAGTGAAAGCGAAAGTAACGTACAATGACGCAGCTAAAAACAATACGCTGTCAACAACAACAACACAGCTTGTTTCATTTTTGCTATAGGCCTAATGTGACGTTTGACAACGAAGCTCTGAAACGATTGTAAACCAGAGGAACACAGACAAAACAAACAAACAAAAAAGGCTTGTGTAGATTTTGCGTTGGCTGCTCCTCGCCTTAAAGATGGTGGTGACAAGACTTTTGCACAGTGCAGAAGGGGAAAGGAAACGGAGGCGTACGGATGCATTCTGTACGTTCCGACGTTCCATTTGAGTGTTTAAAAAAAAAAAAAAAAAATATTTATTTTATTTTATACGGTTGTACATGTAGCCTCATTGCGGAAGTTGCGGTGCATAATGAAACTGGATGACTGCACTCAATAATATCCATATGGTTTCGACACCTCTACAAAAGCTGTCCCCAGAAATATTGGTAAGGGTACGGGGCGAGTCAATGTATTTTTTATAATTCGTTTTTCGATGCACGTACATGAACTTTATGAAATACAGGACTAGGACATGATAAAAAAGGGGAAATATACAGATTACACAGTTTAATTATACATTTAAGTTTCATATAGGCCCCGTTGACTTATTTTGATGCACCCAATTGACTTAATTTACAAGTGCTTCTCAAACCTGCACATTTTGGATGTTTTTCTTATCATACACACCTATCTTGGGTCATGAAATCTCTAAATGAGCTGATGAGTTGAATCAGGTGTGTTACCAGTAGCACAAAACGTTAAAAACATAAAACATAAAAACCCCATGGGAACAAGAACATTTGGCTATATGAGTGAGAAATCCATACTTTACTTAATTCCCTTTACTTCATAAATGAGCTTCCAATAAACAAAATACTTGGAATATTGTAGAGTTTTCTAACAGCAATTAAGTCAATCCGGTAATATATATCATAATAGAATGAAGTTACAGATTTCACTTGTAACCTCAATGTAAAGTATATTAGTGCAATGCAAACAGTGAAGTCCACTTTAAAGTCGCACACCTGCAAGTGCAGCGCAGAAAGGAAGACTACAGACTACACAATGGAAACGTAACTATCCTAATCTAATATGACCAGCTCTAGTTTCCATGTCATGCCGAATAGGACTGGGCAAAAACAAATATATAGCTAGTTTTTATTATTACTTTTTTTTTTTAACACGTGGTTGATTTTATATTCTATATATTATTAAAAGCCACAAATCTATTTTTTTCCTTTTTTTTTTTTTTTTTTTTTGCAAACATTGAACATAATATCTGATTGATGTTAATCGTGTTACTAGTCTTCTCCACTAGATGTCACCCTCTTTTACATTGAGTGTCAGCATGAAAGACATTCCAGAGAGTTGAAGAAACTGTCACTGTCAAGCCTGGCCAATTTAAGCATTCAAGCACAAGAAGACTTGAAAGACACAACACATATGTTTTTAATGTTAATCAAACTACAAATGTCAAAGAAATCACTTAAAGGTTGTATCAGTGATTTCAGGCCCAAAATAAATGATCACATTCATCTAATCTTTCCTAACGATCCGCTAGCTGGCCGCCCCATAAGCAGGCTGTCAAAAAAAAAAACGCGTCTCTGTAGGCAGCCTAGGCTCTGAGATCTGCACACAAAAACAAACGGGTAGAACCACCACTCAAAACCAAAATAAATAGTGTTCCAACCAATCACGGACCAATTTTGTCAATAGGATTAACCTTTAATTACAATATTACAACCATTTGTACAATAAAGATTATATGCAGTGTTATTTTACATTTGATCACTTTATTCAATATCTGTACCTGGAAACAATAGGTTACTATCGTAACCCCGGTTCTCTGAAACATCGAGTGGAGAGATCCACCTATGGGAAGGGCATCCGTACCTGACCTCTGCAGAAGCATCCAATTGCACCAAGTCTGGCTAGACAGACAGAAGCGCGCAGCCACTGCCAGGTGAGGCCACACCCCCTTACCTACGGGCATATAACAGCTGGGCGCGCTGCTATTCCTCAGTAGGTATATTCGCTTCTCGTGCGGCAAGCGGGGCAAAGCTGGTGGATCTCGAACACGAGAATTTTCAGAGAACCGGGGTTACGATAGTAACCTATTGTTCTCTTTCATCATCTCGTGTTCGAGGTCCACCAATGGGAGTGACATGGACAGCTCCCCGATTGCCCAATACACTCACAGTGAGGTTCTGAAAGCCAGAGAAGGACGGTCACCTCGGGGAGGCGGTGCCTGACACGTCCATTAATCATGAACCTGCAAAGGTGACGCCACACCAAACTGCTGTGGACAAGCAGGACATGAAACATGCATGAGACACATACATGATAGCAACCCCAACCCACCAAGGCACATAAACTGTACCCAAAAAGGGAAGTAAATGTTTGGTGACAGGAATGAACACAGCCAGCCAGCCCATCACTGGGACTCCCTCTGTGCGGGGCAGGGGGGGGGGGGGGGGGGGGGGGGTGTGTGCGCTGGGGGGGTGCGCTGCGTCATATCATTACGCCTGCTGCACTCATGGTACGGCAGTAAAGTTTCTTGATTATTACGCAGGAATGAGAGTATAGTTCCTAGCCATATCAGCCTAGAAAATCGCAACTTTACATTTTCCGTTGGTCTTAGTGCACGATGTAACTACAGAAGAGTCAAGTTTTAAATAGGAAAAATATCGAAACTCTTTGGTCATTTTTTTGGGAGAAATGCTAATGGTTTTGTGCACTTCAATGATGTATGCTAAGCTATGCTAAAAGTGGTACCGCCAGAACCGGAGATCGGCTGAATGGATTCAAAAACGGTAAAACTCAACAGTTTAACTCTGGGGGAGTTGTAAAATGAGCCTATTTCCAAAAAAAGTGGAGTATCCCTTTAACTGCTACTTCGCGACGTTAAATTCACCTAAATAGTGTTTTAGACTGCAAGCTGTAGTCTCGCGCTGAAGTCTCGCTCCTCCCACCTGGACACTATTTACCTATCCCTGCTACAACTGAGTTCCCACGCGAGTCCAGGTGGGAGGAGCGAGACTTCAGCGCGAGACTACAGCTTGCAGTCTAAAACACTATTTAGGTGAATTTAAACCATGGCTAAGTTGCTAGACGCATCTTGTTCACAGGTAAGGCCCCTGTTCATGTTGGACAGACATTTTAATCGCATTTTGTGTCTGTTAAGAGGCACAAAACGCTCTTTATGTGATGCACCCATAACTGCCGTTTTAGCTGAGTGGGAGCTCTGGGCATTCGCGGTCGCAGCTCCGCGTCGCAAGCACCGATCCGGTTCGGTTTTTTTTCTTTAGACAGTACTCACAAAGGTCTAACGATCAAGATTAACTTAAAAATTGCCCGGAGTTCTCCTTTAAAGTCCCTATTAGGTCCGTGCGAACGGGAAGGCGCCACGGCTCGGTGTATAGCCTAACAGAGGAATTATCGCCGCCAGCCATGGTGCTTTGGGCCACCTCGGTGCTATCAGAATAAGAGACAGGCCCTGCTCTCTCACCCTGGCCAGTGTGGGAATTATCAGGCACAGGGGAGGAAAAGCATACAGGAGCACTCTGGGCCATGGGTGGGCCAGTGCGTCTACCCCGAGGGGCGCGTCCATGTCCCTTAGAGAGAAGAACATAGGACAATGGTAGTTTTCGCGCGAGGCGAATAGATCTACGCTCGCCCGTCCGAATCTCATCCATAGCATTTCCACTATCTGCGGGTGAAGACGCCAATCCCCGTAGATTGGGTTTCCCCTTGATAGCAGATCCGCGCCTCTGTTCAGAATGCCCGGAACGTGAGTTGCGGAAAACCCGTCTGCTCCACACAAAAAGCTTGTAAGCTAGAGCGTGGAGTTTCGACGAGCGCATGCCGCCCTGACGGTTGATATAAGCCACTGCCGTGGTATTGTCGCACCGTACTAGAACGGGATGTCCCTGCAGGCGAGGCATAAAATGATTCAGAGCTTTCCGAATGGTTAAAAGCTCTAAATAGTTTATGTGCGCTGAACGAAGGAGGGGTAACTTAAAAGGAACATACAAATAAACCCCGGCAGCCAATTACAGCACAGAATAATGCATCATCAATTTAAAACAATTCTTTTAGAGCTTGGGCTGTACTACTCCAATGAGTAACCGTTTGTATTCTAGCCCCATTAATCCTTGCAGTGCTGCGTTCTAAACAAGCAATATAATGAAAAGACAGCAGCCAGAATCTTCTAAGATCCATGTCAGGAGTGAACCATTGCTGTATAATTGTTTTTTTAGCAGCAGTGAAACCAGACATTAACAATCTTCTCTGAACTAACGTAAAGTTGTATGAAGAATCATCATTCAACAACATAAGACAAGGGTCGAGGTCAAACTGCAACTTTGTGATATGTTTTAGTACTTGAACTACATGTTTCCAAAAATTGGATATAACCGTACAGTCCCAAAACATATGCAAAAAAGTACCTTTAGAGTTATTGTTGCACAGACTGCAATTAGGATTTGAAGAGAGTTTCATCAAGTATCGCTTGTATGGGGTACAATACATTTTGTGTATAGTTTTGAAATGAATAAGAATGTGCGAGGGGTTTTTGGAGGCAAGACAGAGATTTGACCAAACTGTATTCCAGTCAGGGCTATAGCCCAGCCATGAGAGTTCTCTCTCCCACACAGCTAATACCTTCAAGGTTTTATATGAACATTCAAGTAGTCGTTTATAAATCAAGGAGACTGTGCCCTGAATTTTCCCAGTATTTTTGAACCACTTTAACAATGGGTGATCATCTAGGCTGGAATTCCAAGGTACCCCGTATGCTTTCATTGCAGATCTTAACTTCGAGTACATAAAACAGGAGGTACCTGGCAAAGAATAATCTGCTTGAATATCTTGGAATGCGCGCAATCCACTGCCATTGAATATATCACCAAATGTGAAAACACCTTTTAAGGACCAGGAAGGGTAAATGAAAGGTTGATTACCAGATAATAG